AATTTCGAGGTGAAGTACAAGCCAGGAAAGCAGAATGCTTTGGTGGATGGTTGCCACGCAGACCGGATTATAAGCTTGCTCATGTCACGACGATGACATCGTCAGTGGCAGATTTGTCAAACACCGCATACGCGGGTGATGGTACGTGTGTAGGGCTGGTACAAATTTTCGGGATCAAGGAGATTGAAACTCGGAGTGTTGGCGCGCACAATTACACCGTATTTGCTGAATAACGGGTAACTGTACTTTGGCACCAATCCGACAGATACGCCGCGAATTGTCATTCCTTACGATAAGATGTGAAATACCCTATCCCTTACAGGGCTCACGAAACCCCACTCAGTGGTCATCTCGGTCGTGAGAAGACGTACCGCTCGGTGTGTTGCCACTATTGGTGGTCCATGCTGTACAAATGGACGAGAACATCTGTGTTTACATGTGAGACGTGTCAGCGGGCGAAACGCTCTCCGAATGCGGCGGAGCCGTTGGCCACTTTACCGGTACCCTTTGGGTTTTGCAGTCCATGAGTATGAACTTTGTGTTTGGCCTACCGAAGAACTCGGCGGGCAGCACGGGTATGGTGGTCCCTGTCGACCGTTTGAGAAAGATGGCTCATCTTGTGGAAGCGCCGGACACCATCGACGGTGTGGGTGCAGCGGCGTTGTTTGTGTAACGTGTCTTTTGACATTTTGGAATCCCGGAGTCAGTTTAGAATCCGCGGATCCCTGGGAAGTTTTGGTCTACAATATACAGGGTGCTGGGCACCTATATCAACAGTGGACCATCCGCAGACCGATGGTCAGAATGAGCGCTTGAACCGCATCGTTAGAGACGTTCTTCGCAGAGTATGCAATCTGAGACGCTGAAGCGCTGGAGCGCATTCGGCCACTCGTGGAGTTTGCTCTGGACAGTGCAGTGCATTCGTCTACCGGCCACACGCCAGTCGACGTGAACGGGCTTGTTAATTCTCGGATCCCACTGAGGCCGCCATTCCATGGCGTAGGGCTTGGTGGGGGAGGAATAGCCGTA